GGGAGAGGGGGGGAGGGGGAGAGGACGATGCGCAACAGGAGGAGGTCAACGAACCGGAGGAGGAGGAGATTGGGGGTCTTGGTAGCAAGAGGCAGGACAAGTGGAAAGAGGAGGGGGAGGATGACCATTGGCAGGATCGGGAGTAGGAAAAGATGAGCCGCGGTCTGATTGTCATTGACACATCAGGAAAAATGGATGAAACACCCTGTTACGTGGATCCATAGTGACGTGGAGGGTTCACACACGTCGGTGCATAACGTTGGGGCACGTGCTCTTTGGTAGACTCCCCACCCCCCGGGAAGTATTGTGCAAGGTGCATTGCCAACAAGATTATTTTCATTGAATTTCATGTTTCACTTATCCTCAAGCCTCCATAGTTCCTGCCACTTGGCCACGTGACCTTCCACGCATCCCCTCTGTCCCACTTTCTGACTTAGATACTGTGTCATGTGCCTTCAACTACCCTGCTCCATTCCACATGGCAAGCAACCCCCCCATCCTATCTTGCCCGAATCACATCACCACCAGCATGCACACTGCTCCGTCCGTGGTGTTGACTCCATTGCCACCCTGGTGAAACACGAACCACTGCGCCGTGGCAGCCACTCTATCCCTCCATAGATGGTAGACCGTAGACCCAACGCCAAACCCCGTAATCGCGAGTCAGAAACCAAAAAATTGGAGACTCTATTACTCCGTAGACCGTTGATGGAACACAAAAGCCCGCGAGCCCAAAATAGGAACCCAAGGCACACCTCCAAATATGACAGCTCATCCCCTTTCCCTCTCCTCGCCTTCCCTTCTCGGTCCGCGATGGCAGCTTCCAGCCATGGCTCGCTGTGATAGCACACATGCACATGTGCGAATAGCCCCTCCCATCCTTCTCGATCCGCACGTCTGTAAGTACCCCCGTTCGTCCTGCTTCCATTCCAGAAACTTCGCAGCACCAGCCACAGACAATTTCGTTGGGCCCGGCCTTTTCCCAGGCAGCCCTTGAACGTGCGCCCTCACGGGAACTGCTCCCCATGACCCCGAAATGCTTCCGCCACGGCATGCCGCCCTTCAAACTCGCATGGACAAAAAAAACTAAAACTGCCATTTCTGCGAATTTCCCTTGGGCCTGCGCCTTGTCCCCCGCCATTTTCCCAACACAGGCAGCCCGGGTTGGCGGCAACATTACGCAAGACCCACTGTTTCCTTTATAAAGAGTATAGATATAGATAGAAAACTACGCTATATTCTTCTCTCAAATTTTTCATCATCTTTCAAATTCTTTCAATTCACCTTCACTACCTACCTACCACTACTCCTAAGCCTTATACAGGGGACCCCTGCAAACATAGCTTTGTTGTCTCCCTCCAGCTATCAGAGGGGATGCATGTTGCCCTCGGTCCCAACCATGGTGGTCAAGGATGGGGACGATGAAAAGGGAGGCGCAGCTACTGTCAAAATGATTGGTTGTTGCGTTGCCGGACCTCCAGCCATTTGTCTTGGAATGAATGGACTAGTACCTCCGCCAGTGTTGGGAAATTAGGAAAAACTGGCAGTTTCCCCAAACTCCTAAAGTTTCGGAGGTCGGGCCTGACGACGACTGCCATTGATATTGATATGATATTGATAAATCTGATAATCCAGCGGCCTAACTCAGTTGGTAAGGCTCGCAAGTGGCAGTCAGGAGGTCGTGGGTTCAATCCCCATTGGCCTCATGTACCTTCCTGGGCATGCTTGGCGCCCGCCACCTAGAGATAGACCACTGGATCCCCCGATTGGCATTTAGCAGAGTCTGCTGATGTTCATAGGGGAGGGGACCTGAGGGGAGGCACAGGGATTGGTCCTGTTGGCATGGTCCCTGATGCTACCGGCTGTCCCCTAGCCGGTATCGCCCACCTGCAGGTCGGGAGCAGCCCCCGCATGTTCTCTCGTGAACACGGTTGTGGCTGCCACGGGGTTCCCCGTATGCCTACAATTAGGAGTAGTGGTAGGTAGGTAGCGTGAGGTGAAATTGAGAGAAGAATATAACTTTAAACCACTAGTACCTTTCCCGCGTGGGAAAATAGGGAAAACTGGCTGTTTTCCCAATCGCCTGAATTTTCGGAGGTCGGGCCCGACGACGACTGCCATTGATAAATCTGATCGGCGGCCGTCGTTTCGTTTCGGCCTCTGAAAAGGTCGGACGCCTACCCGAGGCCCGCTATTTTCCCAAGCGGCGAAGGGACAAAAAAAAAATAAAAAAAATAAAAAATAAAAAATCTGATAGGCGGTAGTCACTTCGACCAACCGAGGCCCGCTATTTTCCCACGCGGCTACCAGCTGTCCCCTGGCCGGTGCCCCCCATAGGGGGTTCCCTGAAGGCAGCAAGGCCAACCAGGCCACCCTGGGCTGAAAAGGCCAAGATTGAATTTTTTTGGGCTGGTTAGTCCGATGATAAAAAAAAGAACGAAGGTCATCGTGTGAGGTCGATCTGGATTTGGATGTCTGAATGCTATCCGCCTGGCGAACAACATATCGATGGTGTTGTTTTTGATTTGAATGTTGTTTGTTCGTTCGTTCGTACATACGTCCTTCGAGGGTCGTCGCTCTGATCTACCCGTAACCTCTCTGAACCAGGTGTCGTTACGAGGTTGGAGCCCAGACTGCAGCGTGGTCCGATTTCCAGGACCACGACCTCCATTCCGTCGGACGGACGTCCCAGTCCGTGCCGTGAGTTTGCGGCTCATCCTGTCCGTGTGTTGAACCTGCAGGTTGCGCGGGGTGTTTGCGTGGCGCGGTCGCCGGCTTGGCGCGCAGGGGGTTGCGAGCGTGTCGGGTCCTTGTCCGTCCTTCTTTGTGTTGTGGACAAATCGGGTCATCCTTTGCCGAAGGTGAGCGACGGAGACCTTGCCGGTTCCGCCATCTCAAGAGCGTCGGCCATCGCCAGCGTGCAGCGGCGCAAGCCGCCCGCGCCCTCTTGCGCGCGAGCGTGCATGCATGCCTGCCTGGGTGTCCCTGGCAGGAGGCGCAGCCTGTACTGTAGCGGCAAACGGCGACCAGATACTTCGCCGCCGTTTGGCCTCTCTTTCGTAGTTTGCGGTGTGGGTGGCCGCCCGGGAGGCCGAGCTGGCCCGCGCTTTAGCCGCCGCCGCCGCCGCCGCCGCCACCTCAGGAGGAGGAGTTAGCGGGGGTTGTTCATCGCGTGTTTGTCTTGCCGCCGCTTCGGAAATCGCGCGGGAAACCGAGCAACTTCTCACCGCAGGTCGTTTTTTTTTTTCCGTCCTCCTTCTGCCACGGGGTGGCGAGTTGTTTTTCGGTAAAGTGATTGACCTGTGAGAGTGATAGGAAGAGGAGGAGGAATAGGAAGTTGAAGAAGAAGAAAAAGAAGAAGGAAAAGAGAGGGAGGCGGCGATGGCGGCCTCAGTGGCACGCGCTGCTGTGGTGCATCCGTGTCGGTCATCCGTGGTGGGCGGGCGAGAGGATTTCGCGACGCATGCTCAACAGGTTAGTGCGTCACTGCCAGTGGGTCGATGGCGCGCAGCACAAGGCTCTACGTCCACGCCACGTGGCGATTTCTTCGCTTCCCGCTTAGGTCGCGCCGTCGACAGGGCGGTACCGTGCTGCCGCAGCCGTCGTTGCCGCAGCATCTTCGCCGTCGCTGCGCTCGCTGCACCGCCCAGGGGCGGTAATCTCCAGGATCTCTTGGCGGACGCGCAGGAGAGGACGCGGAGAGCGCTGGTGAAGTCTAAGGAGGAAGGCGACGGTGCGGGCTTTTCCTACGACGACTTCAGGGAGGCACTGGGGAAATTCGATTTCAGTTTCGAACTGGGGGACGTCGTGAGTATTTCTTGCTCCTCCCTCGCTCCCTCCCTCCCTCCTTCCCTCCCTCCCTCCCTCCCTCCCTCCCTTCCTTTCTACCTCCCCCCCCCCTCTCTCCCTCCCCCTCACCATTTTTTTCCCTTTTTCATAGGCATTCACGTTCCATGTCCAGTTTCTGAATTCTAGAACTTATGTCGCGCAATTCGTCGCTCGATTCGCGCCCCCTACCGTCTGCACCCAAATAGAACATGGTACGGTCATTATCGCTGTATCTAGACCACCAGACTGAAAGTTGACCCAAATGACCGGGCGCTCTTTTCGGGTGAAGATGGTAGGGGCGAAACAGCTGAACGTCGCCGAACTCTCTCTCCGTTTGTTTTGTGTGCGTGACAACAAAGCAGGTGACTCTGACATCTCCAAATCGCAGTCACTTTACGCACCTGCCTACCTTCCGCTCCTGCTCCTCCTCCTCCTCCTCCTCCTCCTCCTCCTGTCTCTCTCCTGTTTCTCCTCCTTCCACTCCCCTATCGTTTGCATCCTTTTGACGTCCTCCAGTTTTCTCGGCTCTTTCTTTGTTGTTTGTTTGTATTCGTTTTCTCCGGCGCTTCTCTCTCCCATCTCTGAAATTTCCCTGTTTCTTCTGGTCCGTCTCCTCTTTTGCCTTTTCACTCCCTGCCTGTTCACTGTTGTCTGTGTATGTCGCGAATGCCTCCCCTTTTTGGCGTATCCAACACTCAATGTGTTCCCCGTTCTGTGTTAAAAATAAGAACGAAAAACATCCCTCCCTCTCCCCCCTCGCCCCAACTATGCTGTATCATGTTCCTGTTCCGTTTTTGTCGTTTTCGCTCATCTTATCCGTTTCCTTTTTAGCCTGCGTGACTGGCACGTATGTGTTTCCTTTTTTGTCCTCCTCACTTGTTTCCCGTTTTTCTTGTGTTTTGTCTTTTTCCCCTCACGTTTTATACCCTGTTAAACCTTGCCGGATCTTCATTTCTTCTGTTTCTGGCTCTGTCTGTCTGTCTGTCTGTCTGTCTCTCTCTCTCTCTCTTCCCCACCGACTCACCGCGTCGCGCTCTCCTCACACACAATTAACAACTAAATAAGAATAATGAATACGTAAAATGAATAAATAATATTTAAACTTGGCTACCAGCCGGGCCGCCCGGATCACCTTGTTTTCCCGGGCGGCCCGACCGTGCAAGGACCACGGAGGGTCCCAGCAAAAAGGGAAAAGAACAGAAAAATCAAAAAAATCCTAGGCTACCAGAGTGGCCCGGGGCCACTTGCCCGGCCGGGCCAAAAACAAATAAAAAAATAAAAATAAAAATTATTTTTTGAACTTTATTTTTTATTTTAAATATGGCAAAGAATTTGAATGTGACCCTGAGGCAAAAGTTGTTCAGTTTATTTTTCTGCATAACATAGTTTTTTTTTGATTTTTTTCGAGGCTATCAGAGGAGCCTGGGTCCACTTGCCCGGCTGGGCCAAAAAAAAAAAAAAAAAAAAGAATATAATTAGTTTTTAATTTATTTTTTTATTTGAAATTTTGTAAAGATTTTCGATGTGACCCTGAAGCAAAAGTTGTTTAGTTTATTTTTGTGCATAACATAGATTTTTTCCGGATTTTTTTTTTTTTTTTTGAATGGGACCTTTCTAGTCCTTGCAGGTCGGTCCGCCCGGGAAAATAGGGTGACCCGGGCGGCCCGGCTGGTAGAAAATTTAATTTTATTTGCTAGGTCCTTATTATTATTATTATTATTTTTTGGCTGGGACCTTCCCTAGTCCTTGCACGGCGGGCCGCCCGGGAAAATAGGGTGACTCGGGCGGCCCGGCTGGTATCTAGATTTTTTTTTGATTTTTTTAATTTTATTTGCTAGAACCTTCCTTGGTCCTTGCACGGCCGGGCCGTCCGGGAAAAATAGGGTGACCCGGGCGGCCCAGCTGGTAGCCTACAAAAAATCCGAAAAAAAAAACTTATGTAGAAAATAAACTGCACAAATTTTGCCTCAGGGTCACATCGAAAATCTTTACCCAAAAAAAAAAATAAAAAATAGTATTTTTTTTATTTTTTTTGCCCCGGCTGGGCATAAACCCATCTTAACGGTAACCTATCAAATCGAATTTCATGGTGCTATTCTGTTCCTTCCCGTCTGTTCCATTGCCTTCCTTCCGTATCCCTACCAATGGCAGCGTGCCCACTAATGTACTAATTTAGGTAAAGCTTATCCTTAGTTTTTGGACCTTTTTTTTTCTGTTTTTTCTTTTTCCCCTTGCTCGGTGTTCCAACCGTTGATTCTCTCTTCTTCTGTTTGCCGTGTTCATCCTCTCTTATCACTTCCTAATGTCTGCTTTATCCCTCTCTCTCTTGCTGTCGGTTTCCCCTCCCCCCACCGCCCCCCTCTCCCGGCGGGCCTCGCGGAAGGATCCGTCGAGTTTTGTTTGTGTTGGAGTTGTTATTTTCCAAAAGTCGTCGGCACAGCCTCGGAATGGCGATTGATAAACTGAGATGAAATAAAAAAGCAAAAAAGAAAACGGTTTTGACTGGCCGGAGAACGGGTTTTGGATGCGTTTTTCCCCTCAGAAATTTAATAATAATAATAGTAATACCGTGAATAAATAGTTTGGTAATGGACCGCTGGGGCCAAGTCCCACTAGCAGCGTTGAGCTACCTCAACGCCTGAATCTGGACGTGTTTGTGGAGACGTGCAGTTCAGGAAACTCAACACCATTTCTGCACATCTCCGCAAAAGCGTCCAGATTCAGGCGTTGAGGTAGCTCACCGCTGCTAGTGGGACTTGCCCCCTGCGGGGGGAAATGCAGAACGTGTGATGGGAATACACATAACGTAACAAGAGAGGTGAAAAGGGTAAAAACAGAAATCGATAAATAAATAAATACGCAATTTGTGCTCATCCACTTCTCCTCGCCGTCATCTAACGAAATAAAGTCAGCGAATGAGAAAAATAATAAAGACGTGGGGCAGCCTGTGAAAGAAAAGATGTTAAAAAGAAAAAAGAAGAACAAGTGAAGATTTATGTACGCAAATGTGTTTAATCCCCGGGGGCAAAACAGAAGAACAGCTGCTACGGAAAAATGAAAGACTGTCTTCTTCATCCGAGTAGAACGCCCGGTCATTATCGCTGTTGTACCTAGACTGAAAGTTGCCCAAGTACAATACAACTATAATGATCGCATGTTCTTCTGAGGAACAATTATCTGAACTTCCTTCTTGTGACTAACAAGTATGTCTGCCTATTTTTGACGTGATTTTGAAACGAATGAATATTTGTTGACGAATCAGAGAGTTGTTTGTCCAATTTTTTTTTTTTTTTTTTTTTTTTTTTTKTAAGGGCCCGAAGGGYTTCATTATAGCTCAACAAATTTCCAAGCAGGCCGGGGACCTCACAATTCAACCCGGGGGACTCACTGACAGCATCAGCCAGCTTAGCTTAGGCTTCAGAGGGGAACATTGAACTAGGAACAGTTCTGGTCCCGAGGACCTCTGTCCTCCCTCTCTGAGCGAACAAGAAATAAACTGCGCCTCCAGGGCCTTCAAACCCAAACAAACCGAAAACTCGAGATAAAAGCTAGCCAGTAGTACTTCTCCTAGACCTATCAATTACACTATACTTGTCTTACTCTCCTATCTGTTCTATATCTTATTATCCGTCTCACCCACACGCCATTCAAGTTAGCGCTCCCTCCTCTTTCTTTCCCTCCGCCTGTCTCCCGCGACTATTCCGAAACCTGCTGACCGAGTGCTCAGGTCTTTCCTATCCTACTACCTCTACAGACTATTCGTCTAGTATTATTCTCCTATTGATGTACTGTTGGTGCTATTCTACTAAGCTGACCGAGTGCTCAGGTCTTTCCTATCCTACTACCTCTACAGACTATTGGTCAAGTATTATTCTCCTATTGATGTACTGTTGGTGTTGGTGCTATTCTACTAAATCTGCCTCTTTCGATGGTGCCACACTCCTTCCGCTTTCCATCCTGCTCCTTTCTCCTGCAACCCAACGCTAGTCCCCCTCTGATTGTTCAGAATGTTCTCTTGATACTGTGCAGCATTGAATCTTAGGAATTGAATATTCTTAAAAAATATAGGAAAAAAATTGTCTGGCGCCCCTGTTATTTCCATTATTTTGCATCGCGCCCGTCCGACGGCCCACTTACCCTGTCGTGCCCCTTGAGCCTCTGAACTGTTCTGCATGCCCCTGTCAGCAAGGGGTGCAACTTTCCGCGGTGCCCTTACTGGACGGCCAGTCTCATTTCACAGTCCCTGTGCGATATGCCCTCATGACTGGCATACATCTTTCCAGCATGCCCTCCCGCCAGAAATTCCGATTTGAAGCACGTCGTTTTTGTGGTGCTGCCGCAAAAAAATGACCCTCTCTCTCTGTGTGTGTGTGTGTGTGTGTGTGTGTGTGTGTGTGTGTGTGTGTG